ACATAGCAGTATGCCTGAGCTTTATACTACAGCCATTTTTCCTTAGTTACTAATGCCAGTAGAAAGAAAAATAGAATAAGCTGTATAAATGTCAGGGTTTTATGATTTTTGTTATCGGTATTCGACAACATAACATCCTGTAAAGCACTGGGAGTTAAAGAGCTAAAGGAGTTAGTGCTCCAGTTCTGCAGACTGCTGAATTTCCAGGTACCAGTATCTCAGAAGAACTGCACACACCCGAGGACTGTGTTTTCATTTTCCATTCAGAAGGAAAGGTAAAACTGTTCACAGGTCACAAGATCACTCTCTTATTTTCGCTGCCTCCCTTGGCAGCAGTTTGCCCTGACCATATGGCCTTCAGCTTTAGAGTAAGGCCTTTGGTTGTGGGCACCCTCTCTCTCATTTTGCTTATTAACCTCAATTCCAATTATATTGTATTACATTTTGCTATCTTACATTCCGATATCATGTGTAGAAAATTAACTTTCCTCCTCAGATTGTTGCTGCTGTTCTGTTTTTAGGTCCATCCCCCATCTCCCTACCGTTCGTTCCCCCTTCCCCCTTTTACCCTCCCCCTTTTCTCGAGGTGAGGGTCAGTGGGTCCTATGCCCCACCAGTCACACAACTGGTACAAACCAGCCTGTAAACGGTTGACATCCTCCCCTCTCCTCCCCGCCCCCCTTTTCTTTTGTTGGGCCATTAGGCCTGTGGGCACGCTGTCTCCCCGTCATGCACACAGGCAGATCTAGAGATAACTCTGTGACAATAAAACACACTGGCTAACTCTACTGCCTTTAAAACTTGAGTAGTTCCACCTAACCTGTCTGATTATATCCCTTTCTTGAGTTTGATGTTCACGTAAGGACTGGGCAGCTAACTCATGTTACAACACCAAGGGTTTCAGAAAACAGAAGTTTGAATATATTCCTCTGACTGTTTCTTAATTGTATGAAATGCAGACTCTGAAATGTTTATGTCTTTAGCAAATATTAATCCTTGGCATACTTGTTAGACAATATTTAACAACGGTATAGTTTTTCTTCAGCCCAAATTAAGCACACAGATTGTTTCTCTCATTTTTTTGTCTATATCCATACATCAGTTTTTTCCCATAGCTTATTCCCTTCTTTCAGTTCTGATGCTCTGAGAGGATCTAAGGAGAATAAAGAATAAAAACCCACAAAATTCATGCAACTGTGGCACCACAAACTAAAGCAAGCTCCAGGAGAAACAGAGAAAACAGAGCAGAACCATGTAAAAAACAGCACAGTGCTTCACATACAGTCTTATCTGATATAATACTATTGTGCTGTATCCAGACAAAAGCACTCCTCCCATTACAAGCCTCACAGTCTCTCTGGCAGCTCCTTAGTGGAGATGGATGAAAAATAAAGTCTAAAAACATACCATGAGAGCGAGAGCTGTTTTCAAGACACGGGGAAAAACTGGGGTTAGGACAAAGTCAGTTTCAAGAAGGCTCAGACAATTTCTGTGAAGAATTCCTAAAACGGAGCTGTGTTAATCTTTCACGTGGTTAAGAAGAGCACAGAGAAATAGCCCAGATCTGAAGTAAAACCCTAATACAAATTTTTCTTAACTTTTCCAACTCTATGACTTTTCCAACTTTTCCAGCAATGTGCAGAAGAATGCAAGGACTAACAAAGGCCTTAATACCACCTAATAAAGGTGGTATTTTGCTGACTCTTCTAAATGATGTTTAGAACTTCCTTGTTAGAGGGCTGGACTGAGGCCAGAACAAGAACTGTACACTGCTGAGACCAAGCTGCTTTTGCAGTTAGGAACTCCAGCACCTGTAAAACGTAGCAGAGTAATATTACTTTTCTCCCAGGTCATCCAAGTCAGCTTTTTACTTCCCTTCTGTTACATGGATGATCTTCTGAAAACCTATTCACTGTAGCAAATACAGCTGTCCTGTTCCTTAGTCTCTTCACAGATGAGAGCTAACAGCCTCTGCTTAAGCATTTTGTTCCTGATGCTGCTTTACAAATAGCAGACAATAGGCTGAAGGGACATCAAGCAGTAACTCACCACTAAGTAAACCTCTCTGAATATACTTGCACGGACCCATAAAAAACATCTTGTAGATGAAAAAAACATATTTTACCGCCCTAGGGCTAAAGAATTGCATTTAAAACATTATGAGCTCAATACCAAAAGAAGCTGATAAACTCTTTAACAAATCTACCTTTTGTACATTTACAGGGCTCACTGTAATTTTATAAACCAACTGACTTTATAGCAAAAATTACTTGTGAAGTGAATAACAGAAGAGCTCTTCAGTCTCATCTTTTAGTAAAGTCTGTATATTAGGGCTTATTTCAGAAGATGCATCACCTCAACATTACACTCCAAGTTCTCCTCATTATAACCATACAATGGTTATCTGAAGCTATCCAAAAAAAGGAATGTTGAGTTTGAGTACGTTGCATTTGTGCTGGCTAATGAAGTACAGAAGAGCTATATTCTGGGCTGCATTAAAAAAGGGGTGGCCAGCAGGGAGAGGGAGGTGACTGTCCCCATCTACTCAGCTCTTGTGAGGCCCCATCTGCAGCACTGCGTCCAGGCCCGGGGCCCCCAGCACAGGAAAGATGAAAAGCTCTTGGAGTGGGTCCAAAGGAGGGCCACTAAGACAATCAAAGGGCTGGAGCACCTCTCCTACAAGGAAAGGTTGAGGGAACCAGGTTTATTTATCTTGGAGAAGACTGTGGGGAGACCTCCTTGTGGCCTTTCAATACTTGAAGGGTGCAGGAGGGAGACAGGAGGGTGAATGGCTGCTTAAACGAGTACATAGTGATAGGACAAGGGAGAATGGTTTTAAACTGAGACAGTGGGGAGGTTTAGGCTGGATCTCAGGAGGAAGTTTTTCACTCAGAGGGTGGTGACTCACTGGAACAGGTTGCCAAGGAGGCTGTGGATGCCCCATCCCTGGAGGCATTCAAGGCCAGGCTGGATGTGGCTCCGGGCAGCCTGGTCTGGTGGCTGGCGACCCTGCACATCACAGGCAGGCTGAAACTAGATGATCATTGTGGTCCTTTTCAACCCAGGCCATTCTAGGATTCCATGAAGTGACTCTCACTCATAGCAAAAATCACTTGTTAAATATTCACTCGCTACTTTTTCTAAAAGATGACAATTCCATGTTGAAGGCACTAATCCCTTATGAAGCAAGATGCAGATAAGTCTCAAAAACAGACCTACCATCTCCAGAGGAGTTTTCTACTATTGCTATCTCCTGGGCCATGTTTCTGTTTGCTACTGAAATCCCCCTTAGGCCTGTTCCTGGAGCTCGTAATGCTCTCAAAAGTGCAGTTCAACCAACGCTCAGAAACACTCACTCTGAAACACACATGATGCTAACTTGGAGTGAAATTTAGGAACATTTAAGGAAAAGTTCATCAGAAATCTGAGTGGTCTGTGTAATGTCAGCATCTCTCAACTGTCCATATGGAGCATAACGACAAAGGTCTCACAGTAAGTGCTTTAAAAGACAAATATACAAAACTCAATAGAGTTTACACTGTAGAAAAGCATCAAATTGCAGATCAGAGAATGTGCTGAGAGGAGGCAGCACATGCTTTAAGTGAGCATACAAAGTTTTCTGACATCAGAATCATTTCCATGGGGACAGTAAACAAATGTAAAGAAAAGTGATCCTAACATAATGGTTGGAAGGCATACATTTTCTTAGTTTACATTTCAGAACCACAACTGTCAAAACAATTACTAGACTGGGGGAGGAGGGGTAAAGAAAAAAAAAAGAGTGGGCAGCTGTTTAGATAAAAGATATCACGACCCTTGGGTTTCATTTCTAAAGTGACTGCCAGCTGTTAGAGATTTTCAGCACCTTTCCAGTTCCAAAGGGACAACAGTGGGGACTGAAGTTTACTTAGCCTTTCGGTAGGGTCATACTCTCAGGTTTCAGGTTAGATGACAAACTCGAAAATATCCTCACTCTGGCTCAGCTCTCTGGAGATCCTCACAGCACAGGACTCAGTGTAAAATGTAAGTTACCATCACCTCTTACAGCTTTTACATTTGGAAACCCAATTTTTTTTAAATAATTGTGCAAGAGTCCTCAACGGGACCTTCCAGTACTTGAAAGAAGCTTACAAGCAGGTAGGGAATAGCTTTTTTACAGTCTGGCAGTGAGAGAACATGGGCAAAGGACAGAGAGGAATGGCTTTAAACTGAAAGAGGGAAGATTTGGGTTAGATGTTAGAAGGAAATCCTTTACTCAGAGGGAGGTGAAGCTGCCCGGAGGACATGTAGATGCCCCATTCCTGGAAGTGTTCAAGGCCAGTCTGGGACCAGCGATATGAAGCTGCAAAGCAAGGATATTGGTAAAAACATAGGGAAACGAGATACTCTGGAAAAGCCATACAAATTTTATACCTCATGTCATCACATCCTGGGCCCTGCCTCCACAGCGCCTTACAGTGACTATCGACCTTCTCACACTGACACCTGCGGCCATACCTGAGGGAGCACCCGCAAAGGACATCTGTTTCTACCAAGCGCTCAACAGAACTGTCTCACCTTCCCCCACGACTATCCACAGCTTCATCTTTACCCGCGAAAGCCACCTGCCCGCTGACGGCTGGGGCGCGCAAGTTTCGCAGCCCCAACCTCCACACCCGCTGATGTGTCGCTCCCGCAGTCCCGGAGCAGGGCAGCTCCCAGGCACGGGCAAGCTTACGCCGGTAAGCCGTGCCCCCGCTCAGGAGCCCACCGCCACCTGGGGACAGCGGAGGAGCGGCGGGGAACCCTCCCCCCCCGCCTCGAGCTCGCCGCCGTCCTCGGGGAGGCAGCGGCCGTCGCGAGCTGCCGGCAGGGAGGAGGGGGCGGTCGATCTGCGCTCCGGCGGAGGGTCCGGCCTGGCGGCGGGGACGCGTGCCAGCCGCCTGCCACCGCTGCGCTCCGAGCGGCAAACTTGCGAGAAGTTGAGACGGCACTTCGCGGAGGCGGCTCTGCGCCGCTACCTGCTGATGAAGCCGTCGCCGTCGCCGTCGCAGGCCTGGAAAAGGCGCCTCATCCTCTCCTCCTCGCCAGTGCTGGAGGTATCGCTGCTGCTGCTCCCGGCGCTGCTCACCTCTGCTGCGGCAGCTGCCGCCATCATGCGCCCAGCTCTGGAGGAGGAGATACGACTGCCTCAAGCGCCAGGGATTCCCAGTCCCGCCGCGCCTGCAAAGTGCGGGCGGCAGCACAAAGCCAGCGCGGAGGGGGGGAGCCCCGGGGCGCGGCCCCGCTGCACGCCTACCCACCGCGCGCCCCCGGCCCTGCGCGCTGCTACGGAACCCGGGCGCGTGCCCGCGGAGGGCAGGGGGGACGCGGCCCCACCGAAGCACCGCCCTCGGTCCGGCCGGCCCCCAGCGGGAGCTGCCGGGAAGGTGTGGAGGTGCTTCTGCTTTCTGTGCCCTGCTGGGAGAGTCCTACTCCCTGCCCTTCTTCCACCGGCCTCTGCCCCGCTATCAAAAATCGTGGTGGTCTGTGAGCATGTGGGTGGCCTTGAGAAAGTGAATGTCTGCCCTCTTCAACAGGCTTACATTCTGCCACAGGGACCAACAAGTGCTGGGAAAACCTTGACCAAAGTGGTACTCGGGGGATCGCGTACTTTTAGAGAATCACAGAATATATCAAGCTGGAAGAGACTCCAAGGATCACTGAGTTCAACCCTTGGCTCCAGACAGCACCATCCTATAATATTCAAATTCTGTATTTGGAAGCACTATCTGGATGCTCCCTGAATTCCAACTCTGCCCTGGGTTTCACGCCTCCCACATGCTGGTGAAGAGCCTTTCCCTAACCACCTCCATCTCCCCCTCTCCTGATGCAGCTCCTTTAAATTTCCTTGGGTCCTCTCGCCGCCCCTTCGCTCCCAGTGAGGAGCTGATGACAGCCTCTCCTCAGCCTGGCCCAAACCCAGAGACCTCAGCTGCTCCTCACACGTGTTGCCATCCAGACTCTTCCTCAACTCCATAGCCTGTCTTCGGACACTCTCCAATAGCTTTCTTACACTGTGGCTCACAGACCAGCACCCGCTCCTTGCACTGCACAGCAAGAAAGACATCGAGGCCCTGGAGCATGTCCAGAGAAGGGCAACGAAACTGGTGAGGAGTCTGGAGCACAGGCCTTATGAGGAGTGGCTGTGGGAGCTGGGATTGTTCAGTCTGGAGAAGAGGAGGCTCCAGCAGATCTCAGCACTCTCTATAACCACCTGAAGGGAGGTTGTAATGAGCTGGCAGTCGGCCTCTTGTCTCGTGTAGCTAGTGACAGGACTAGAGGGAGTGGCCTCAAGTTGCACCAGGGGAGATTAGGCTGGATGTTAGGAAATACTACTTCTCTGAAAGAGTGGTCAGGCACTGGAATGGGCTGCCCAGGGAGGTGGTGGAGTCACCGACCCCGGCGGTGTTCAAGGAGTGTGAAGAGGTGTGGAGGGACATGGTTTAGTGAGAGCTATTGGTGATCGGTGGATGGTTGGACTGGATGATCCTGTGGGTCTTTTCCAACCTTGGTGATTCTGTGATTCCATGAATGCTTTTGCCAACTGCCCGGTCCTCCAATTTGTCAAGATCTCTCAGAAAGTTGTCATAAGGGAGCCAGCGGCTCATCCCAAGTTAGTGTTATCCACAAACTTGCTTAGTACGCCTTCAAGTCCTACATTCAAGTCAGTTATGAGAACACTCACTGGCCCTAAAATTTTTGTTCTCCTATTGCTTGAAGCTGTCACAAGGCAGACGCAATCCCTCTTTTGTTAATGCTGCAGCTTTGTTCGACTTTGGCCAAGCCATGAACACCACAGCTCGACATACTACAGCAAAACACGGTGTTTTCAGCACCGCTGTGTTTGTGCGTTATTTTGTTTGGTGCAGGACTGAACAAGTGGGAGCATTCTTGCTCTTTCTGGCACATCTGATTCCATGCATCTCATTTTACATGAAAAGGAGGTGGTTTGTTTTTCTGCTCCAACAATTCATCATCAAGCAGGCCTAAGTGCCCCATTTCTGAAAAAAAACACCCATTTTTCAAACTTATACTTTGCATATACTCTCTTTCTGTAACTCCCTAGTGATCCTCAGATTGCCAGCCTCCACCTCAAGGTCAGTCCCAAGGTCAGTTCTGCTCCCTAGGTGCATCTCTCTCGAGTGCGCTCACAGCTGCCACTTTCACAAAGCTTGGGTACACTCTGCAGCCCAAATGCAAAAATATCATTACCACTCTACAGAGTTCATTAATAATGAAAAATAACAGCATCTTACAAGACTTCCAAGTTGGTTTCTAAGCACTGAAAGCGAGACCAGCAAATAACTCATCAATGGCAAAACTGCTAATGACTTCTATTTTGTACCAGAAGGTACCTAATTTGATAATGAATACTGTATGAAATGGAGACAATATCAAAATGGACTTGGGAAGCACAAAATTAGCAAGGAAAACTCATTAAGATCAACAGAAAAGTGTTTCACCAATATGAGAAGATATGGGGAATTCTGCTCGTTGATGACATCCTACAACTTCTCCCCAAACACAAAAGGTATTGATATCTGGCATTTAGTCTTCAGAGAACTGATATTGTA